TATATATATAGAACGAATAAGTCCGGAATCACAGGACAAGCGGCTTCGTACCATTGACGTAAAACCTAAGTGCACCTACGAGGTGAGCGACCTCTACCATCTGCTTACGAATTTCAGAATTACACAACTCGGTTAGATACGTATGCCTTCCATAAACATGTCTGCTTGTCATCACATACACATGTCTGCTTATTATTAACACATACACATACTTGCGTTTTGATACATACACGTGTCAACTTATTATTAACACGTACACATGCTTGCTTATTGACACACATGTTCACTTGTTATCACATTCACATGTTTGCTTGTTCTCCCATACATATGTTCACCTGTTGTCACATACCTCCGTAGAGACTATTGGTACTCTTCGTTCGCTTCAGATCAGTCCCTCCAGGTGCTAAGTCGCCTGCAGCGGCGCTTTCGGGAAGCATCCTATGAGGAACAAAGAACAAAACACATCAGATCATCTGCATTGCTACAACGCTTGTACACACACCAGCCACCATACTAAATGAAACAAACAGTACACCAGCCACGGCAGAGTGACACACCAATTGTCCTCATCTTGTTGTCTGTATCAAACACCATGGAACGCTACACACGCCCACACAATACTTCGAAATGGTACGTACGTACTGGAATACACAATTATACGTACCGCAATACACACTTGTACGTACCGGAATACATAGTTGTACGTACCGCAATACACACTTGTACGTACCGGAATACACAATTGTACGTACCGCAATACACAATTATACGTACCGGAATGCACAATTGTACGTATCGGAATACACACTTATACGTACCGGAATGCACAATTGTACGTATCGGAATACACACTTGTACGTACCGGAATACACTTTCGGTACTTGCGGATCGTTGCATGCTCGCATTGGGATCAAAACCGCTGGCCGACGACAAGCTGTGGGAGGGGTTAAGGCAAATGGTCAAGTAAATTAAATTAACGAGAGAATGAGGAAGGCTATAATCCCACTATTAACTTTTGAAGTTTATAATCCCACTTTTACTTTTCGGATGTCTATATGAGGGTCAATGTTCTCAATGCGGCAATGTCTGGCGCTGCTCCCATACGTATCTGTATATAGGATATTCAACACTCCAAAACTCAGGCATAGCTTCGCAGACTACACACACACATACCCATCACAACGCAACTCACCCCACACGCACTGTACCACCACGCCGACAGCAGAGTGTATATAGTACGAGTGGGGTGTATGTACCGAACTGGTTTACCTACCTTCCACGTGTAACGTATGCATTCCAAGTCCCACCCCACAAGCCCACCCCAGCAAAGTGTATATAGTACGAGTGGGGTGCATGTACCGAACTGGTTTACCTACCTTCCCCGTGTGACGTATGCATTCAACTTCTTCCCCGCCGGAAACGGATGGTCCACGATCTTCGTCGCGTCTCGGCCGATCACGCGTGACATCCCGAAATCAGCCAATTTCAATACCGGGACGCCGTGAGATTCAGACGTAGGCGCGCCCAGAAGACAGTTCCTGGCAGCCAGATCTCTGTGGACGATTCCCTTGCCGGATAGGTATATCATAGCTGTATACAAATAATATAAAACATAGTATACAACATAGTATAAAACATAATTTAAAACATAATATAAAACATAATATATAATATAATATAAAACAGCAGAGACCGACAGACTCGACTAGTACTATTGACTGGATATGTCCATGGGAGTATAGGAATAGTGAGAATCAATGCCGCATAAAGCCGAGCAATGACAATAGTGGGCTAGCCATGTACACAAAGTATATAGAACTGATAAGCCAGGTGATACACTAGAGAGGACTTGTTGACATGTGCACATATTATACAGAATCAATAAGCCCGGCAATACATTATAGTGGAGATATATAGATATATGTATGCATACATTCTCAAACACACGCATTGGTACATACCTACATACATAAATACATACCTACCTACTTAACCACCTATCTACCTACCTGCATACATACATACA